TATGGCTATATTTTATGATTCCTGTGAAGGACCATGGGTGTTTGTATTTGGTAATCCCCATGGAATGCTCTTGCTTGGCCCATGAGTTGATGTAGCTTGACAGTGGGACACTAGGGGTGTTTCTCAAAATCAAGAACACAAAGACCAGTCTTGCTACCCTTCCATCCAAGAATGACCTTGGGGTGCAATGAATCATGGGATTGGTCTCGTTTGGCGAGGATGCAATTGATGTATCCTTGATATTTGGGGCAGGGCAAGAACGACATCTGGGGATTTTTACCATTCTCTGTACTTCTGTTCTTGAGTACTGGAACTGGTCTTCGGCAATGGAAGATGACATAAAACGAGTACACGAGAACATAAGTATGGTCAAGTAGGCATATTGAGAAACACCAAAGGTGACCTTGAGCAAAGGCCTTGCTGGTTTTCTGAGGAGCGCTCTGTCTCTCTCTGGCCTAGGTGCTGGCCCTGGTCTTCATCCGCAAACTGCTGGACTTCTTTTTCACCAGCAGGGAGCTCAGCTGGCTCGACGACCTCATGCCTGAGAGTAAAAAGAAGAGGGAGGATGACAAGAAAAAGAAGGAGAATGAGGTAGAGTGGTGGTCAGGGTCAGTTTTTGTTTTACTGAGAAAGATGGGAACATGACCCTGAGCCATCCACCCCATGTGTCCAGGAAGCTCAGCAGGAGGTGGAAATTGATGCCATGGATGAAACTTATGACCGAAGCCACCTATTGAAGGTTCCAGGAAAGGCTCTCCAGGCCAGGTGCGTGTCGGTGCTGTGGTGAAGCTACGAAGAAAAGGCTTGTTCCTGCTTTACCCAGATTTGCTCATATTCACCACTTCTTGTGCGTTTTGGCCACAGCTGTGGCAGTAACTATGTGGGTCCCTTGGTGTATTTGCCCTGAACAGATCATACAGAGTAGTTTCACAGTCCACGTCCCAGGATGAGCAGTCTAGAGGGGTTTGTTTACTTTTGAATAATGTTTGTCTTTTATATAACGACTAATTATCTTAATGTACACCAACACAGTAACATGATATTAAGAAGTTCATTGCTAATATCTGATAACATCATAAATAAGCCTTGATCCATCCATGGATCCGTCTTGCATAACCGCTCATTCAGCACAGGGTTGTGGTCAGCATGCAGTCTGTCTCAGGAACCACAGAGCATAAGGCAGGAGAAGCCATGGGTGGGATCCATGCATATAAAAGTAGAGAGAAGATGGAAGGATGTTTCACGAAGGGCTCCTTGTGTGATTATATGTATCAGTTCATTTATGCCTCAACCATTCATGCTGTAATAAGCTGTATGTCTGTCGCAACTTCTCAAGGTCTGTCCGTCCGCTTCTCTGATTTGTGCCTGTCCCTCATTCAGCCCTGACCCATCCATTGTAAACATTTCCAACGAAATGGCCAAAAGCACAGCATGGAGAGCGGTCGCCATGGATACTAACAATGCAAAGCATGTGAAGGTTAACATGAGGTAGCTATGGCTCTCTCAATCTTCCGCTTCCACCCAATAGGAGTCGCCAAAATCCCGAGGGCCAGTTTAGCATCTCCTTAACCTTATGGAGTGACTAAGCATCTGCACACAGCATTTGTGTACAGCTCTGTAGGGTCCCACGGTTCGACATGTCTGAAATAAACACTCTTTCACTCTAACTGCCATGACATGCTGGTGAGCCCAACATGTGATCTTTTTGAATGTTCTTCGAAGACCTGAGAAGTCTTGTGGCCTTGGCACTACATGTTTACATGCATGTTACATGTGACTTTGTTGACTGGTCTCCCTATCTGTGTTTGCAATGTTCAAGAGGCCCTCCTTCTACAACTGTGACCTTTGAACTTTGTTTATTTTTCCTAGCAGCCAGGAGAAGGTGGCATGTGTTAGGATCAACATGGAGAAGGAAGGGAAGAGAATGCATGTGGAGACCTCACTCTGAGGGAAGACCTCATTCCGGCGCTGGAGAGATAGTCTTTCCCTTTGGGTGAATTGTGGCGATGCTGGGGGGGGGGGGGTACACTGCCTGGTTTCACGTCTCGGTCTAAGAAAGCAGAACCAGTCCCACGGGAAGGAACTTCTCTACAACCGACAAAGAGCCGACATCAGCAAAACCAAAGGAAATGGGACCACACTTGCAAGGTCTAAACTCTTACTGATATCCCGTCGGCCCTTTGCATGAAACTTCGCAAACCACCACCTGGGCTTTTGGGTGCAATCCTGTAAACACCACAGCAGTTTTATAGTCATAAATGCGACGTTACATTCTTACCAAAACTGACAAAAAGTTTTTTGGATCTAAAAGCACAAAGTTATTTGGGATATTTTGCCACAGCTGGTGCGAAACGATGAAGGGGGTTGAACCTGACCTTTGAGGTGTACATATCGTTGGATGTCCTGTCACTATGTATTTACTGTTCGTCGAAAACTAGTAGCACACCAGTGTCGACATGCTAACTTCAGCCATACTTCATTGCTTTATGGCTCGCTGTAGCCACTACAATCTAAAGAACACCAGCACCTAATTACATTTGCTGTTGATACGGGAAAGAACTATTTTCTTCACGTTCACTGTTAGATGTCACTAATAATTTCAGTAACTCCAGCTAAAATGGAAAAAGCCTTTCATAAATGGAAAATAGCACAACTTACATACTAATTTGCAGATATTTTTTGCATCTATCCTATAATCGGGCTGGATGCATCATTTGTATAGTAATGACAGTTTGATTGGTGGTTAATCCTTTTGTTGTATCATCGTTAGTGAGACTGACAGTAACAATCCAACGTATCTTTCAGCGAGCTCAGGAATCCATATTTCTAATTTTAAGGTTATAAGGCATTAAAGTTTTAAAGCATCACAACTCTTTCACTGTCTGATTTTAATTTTTGTTCCCTTTTTCATCAAAATTGACCATCCACATTTAACATACGTTCAGTCGTCATCTATTTGTATTGAATCCATATTTTTTATTTTTTAATTATTGTAACAGAAAAAAAATTGCGTTCCTCGGAAATTTATTGTATTTATACCACACAAATAGTGCTTTGATATGTGGCATAAAGGGTTAACAGCAGACTGTATCCCCTGTTTGAATACCTCATCATTTTTGGTATGAGCAATAATCCCAACACGAATCACAGAGAAAACAGCACTGGGAATGTGAGATATCCTTATCGGCTGAGAGTTGTTAATTACTGTGTTTCAGTCCTCGACCACTGCCTTGAGCTAGCTCTAACCGCAACGCTGAGTAGACGCGGTATGACTCTTGTGCCTTGTAATCGCTTTTCCGTTAGTGCACGCACACGATCAAGAGCACGGATGGTGCCAGCGTCCGGGAGGGAAGGTGACACTTAGCCACACCTATCTAGATATTTCTGGTCTCGCCGGGCACAAGTTTTCACTCTTGTGGATCTGGTATGTTGGCAGAGTGCTGACGTGAGCGGTTTTTGTGACACGCAAAATGTCGAGGCCATGGATGCTGCTGTAAATAAAAACATTAAATGTGGATTTTGCCTTCACAAATGCATCGTGTCTGTCCCGTGACTCCAAACTCAACCTTCCTGTCAAGTGGCACACAACAAAATGGGAGACATACCAGAGGTCAAAAGAGGACAAATTGTTGGTGCGTGTCTCGCTGACACCTCTGTGACCAGGACAGCAAGTCTTTGTGGGGTATTGAGAGCCACAGTATCCAGGGTAATGTTGAGATACCACCACAAAGGATGGACCACATCCGACAGGAGTAACCGTGGATATAAGAGGAGCTGTCTGATAGGGAAGTCTGGGTACAAACCCAAACTGTATCCAAAAAACGTAAAACCACAGCTGCCCAACTCACTGCAGAATTAAATGCGGACCTTGACTCTCCTGTTTCCGCCAAAACTGTTCACCAGGAGCTCAACAGGGCCAGTATTCATGGTTGGGCTGCTATAGTCAAACCTTTGGTCATTCATGCCAAAGCCAATGGTCAGTTTCAGTGGTACCAGCAGTGCAGATCTCGGGCTGTGAACAATGTGAAACATGTATTGTTCTCTGATGAGTCTATCCCACATCTGGGACCGTTACGGTGTGGAGCCCCAAAGAGACTCACCACCTGGTCTGTTACATACCCAGAGTGCAGCATGGAGGTGGATCAGTGATGGTTTGGGCTGCAATATCGTTGCATTCCCTAGGCCCACTACTTGCTCAAAGTGAGCATGTCACTGCCAAGGACCACCGAACCATTTTGGACAACTGTTCACTCAATGGTTCAAGCATTGTACCCTGAAGGTGGTACCATGTATCAGGATGGTAATGCTCCAAAACACACAGCAAGACTGGTGACAGAGTAGTTTGATGAACATGAGTGAAGTTGAAGATCTCCCATGGCCTGCAGAGTCACCAGGTGTATATATTATTGAGCCACTTTGGGGTGTTTTGGAGGAGTGAGTCAGGAAACGTTTTCCTCCACCAGCATCACATAGTGACCTGGCCACTGTTCAGCAAGAGGAGTGACTCAAAGTCCCTCTGACTACTGTGCAGGAGTTGTAGTCTTTCCTAAGATGAATTGATGCTGTATTTACCGCAAAAGGAGGCCCGATACCATACTAATAAATTATTGTGGACTAAAACCATGTATTTCAGTTTCATTGTCCAACCCCTGTATCTAGCATTATTGTATTCCTTTAAACACCTCTAAGTACATTAGTCTTTAAAAGTGTTAATTTCATCATTATATTCAAGTGTCAGGTGGCATTACTCATCATCATATGCTCTCAGTCAGGATGACTAACATCTGCAACCAGAGGCTTCCAGATGATTGGCCAGCATAATAACGTGCCATATCAGAACATTGTAGGACTCAAACTCCTGGAAGAAAGCAATGACTATTGGCTATACCCCTCCCCTGACTGCAATAACGCTTCCCAGCACTTATTCACACTGTTATGCACCAATGAAGCCATCACTACTCAACAATAATGCAATGGAAACAAAGTGACTGAACCACAGGTGACATGTTAAGACTTTTATTATTATAAATAATAAGCCAAACCCGGTCAGCATCAACCTTATAGCTGACATCTCTATTTTCAGTCTCATTACATTGCCAGTAATCATTAATGGTCATTACTATTGGCCATCTCCTTCAGAGAACATAACAGATTGAATTGTGAAAATAGACTTTGCACACATTATAGAAAAGCAGTGCTGTATGTTATTCTGTGTCGGGAACTGGAAAATAATTATCCTGTAAAATGCATGTACTGGTAATTTAAAAGTGCAACACATTAATTCTATTTATGCAAGCATATTCATTTCATAGAACACGTCTCAGACACGAAACACCCAGGCCTGATATCGTTACGGGTACAGGAAACCTCCAGCACGGCCAGGTGGGTGGGGTGGGGGTGTAATGTTTGATAAAATCAGGAGGGTGGTCTGCATTTTGACTTCCTACTCGCCTGCTATTATTAGCCAAAGTGACTGGTTAACCGCTAACTTCAATAAGCCTGGGCAAACTAACACTTCAAATTACCAAGAAGAGCCATTACCCCCCCCCCCCCCCCCAAAAGAAAAGCCCAGAACAACCACTGAAAGGACAGAAGGAAGTTTTTTTCCTCAGCATGTTAACATAGTTCCTTCTTCTTAGATGTATTTTTCTAATGTAAATACATTTATTTTTATGTTTATGTGCAAAAGAAGAAACTAACAAGCTGGTCACAGGTTAACATATGTGATCCAGCGTGATGCGTTTTCAATTTATTTTCCTCATTCAGAAAGGAAAAGAAAAAAAAACACTTTCAGATGATAAAAGAATAGGTGCAGAAGTTTTATATTTTTTTGCATCTGCGTTTCTCCTTTGCAAGGACCCTCATCATTTTAAGTCATTATTAAACAGGATATTACATCAGATACAACTGTTAGTAGGACTGTGTTGAAGGTCCACCGCGCCCCCGCCCCCCAAACACGGGCACACGTGTTGTCACATCTCGTTCAACTGCACCTCCCGGCACTGTGCGAGCTCAGTTGGCAGCGTGCGGAGGACCTTCTGGGATGAGCGACGTGAAGAAGGTGGTGATGAACGACCAGGCAGACGACAGGAAGCCGTTATGGACCGTGCCACCGGGGTCCTCGTGGCCTTCCTCCCCACTCTCACCCTCCTCTTCGTCCAGTCCCTCATCCATTATGCGCTCCTGTAGGGGGCAGACAAGGGGCATCACTGATTTTGGAGATGAGTTCAGTGGCCTTGGAGACCAAGTCCACACAATGTTATGCAATTTTATAAAGATTTGTAATACAATGGCAGCTGGATGATGAGAATCATTTAGGATCATTAGGGTCGAGAGACCAATAAGGATTTCCCAAAAAATCATACCGCAATCTTTATAACACAATTGCGATCCATGATCTGAATTGCGATATTTCTCAATTTTCCCGATTTTTAAATGTCCTGTCAAGAATATCCAGACCTGAACAAGCTTAATTGCATTAAATATTATATGCACATGCCCGATTGGCATTGTGCGTATAATCAGAAGGTTGCCGGTTCAAACCCAGCCTCAGCACGTCTGTGGGTCCTTGAGCAAGGCCCTTAACCCCCAGCTCCCTGGGCGCTGCTACGGGTGGCTGCCCTTCGCGGACAGCTTACTCTACAAAGAGCAAGTTGAGGGAGGCGTAAAGACAATTTCCCCACGGGGGTAAATAAAGTATCAATTATTATTATTGTTATTTCAGCTGACGGAAATATAAGCTAATACTTCATCTATGCGATATTTAGGTTAATAGCATTGGTCCAAAAATTGCAAATAGATGACGGGAGTGAACTGTTTTTTTTTTTTCCCAGTCGGCAGAATCCTTAACACCAGTTCTGGATAAACAAAGTGACTGCTGTACTTTGCTGCAAATACAGAAAATGTGATTTGGCAAAAAATGCCGGGATGAACAGTTCGGGCAGCGCCAAAACATGCAATGGGGCGCAGGCAAGCTCGAAAATGCTGCGCATGCGCAGACGTGCGAGGTACAAATCGGACAAACGGCATGGATCAGGTAGTTAGACCCTGGATACATTCACAAACCAAGAGAATGACTTCTGACTTGATGGCTGTGCTGACTGGCCAAATTAAATCACGCATCTCTATCACAGATTCTCTCATGTGTGAGCTATTAGCATGACGGATGAGGAAGTGCGGTACGGATGCGGTACTGGCACAAGATTACCGGCCACGGAGATGTTTTGTGAAGTCGGGGTATATTAGGGGAAGGAGATAAAAGATCACGATCTCCATGATTTGCATGAAAATTGGATTGCGGACGTCTTCGAGATCGATCGCCATATAAAATCACCAGATCGGCTAATTAGGAGTTAAATTCGATGAATCTCAAAGAGGAGGTGCAGCTAGATAAGGGCGATGAGCAATGACTCCCCCCTCAGGATCGACAAGGCCGCGGATGGGAAGAATGCTTATTCTGGGGGACGGTACCATTTCCTGGATGTCATGGCGAAGTTCCACCTCCCCATCCTCCTGGTTGCCCTCTGCCGCTGGGTTCTGGGGCTCAAGTTCGGGCCGGAAGGGAAACCAGCCGGCCTGACGCCTGGGCAGACAGAGGCGGGACAGAGAGGCGCACAAGCATTATGGGACGGAAGGTGGCGTGGGTGGGAGGAGTGAAAGCAGAGGGGAGACACTCACAGGTACAGGAGCAGCATGGCGCCCATCACCATGACGAAGCGGCTGAAGGAGGAGTAGAAGTAGACGATGCTGAGCAAAATTCCAGCGCGGGACACGGTGTACACCCAGTCCAGCCAGTCACGGTTCAGCTCGTCGTCGTTCAACACGGCTCCGCCCTGGGCATTCATCTGGATGTTGGGATTGGCTGGACGCTCCTCGGGGGCCGGCCCATTGGCTGGAGCGGGCTGTGGAGGTGGGGACTGGGCGGAGCTTGTGGGCAGGCTCGGGGCAACGGCAGCGGGGGCAGCCTGGGAGGAAGCTGCTGCTGCTTGGCTGGACGATTAAGGGTCATAAAAATGATCAGTATTAATTACAATAGTAATACGGAAATGGATGAATTAACACTAAATAGATGTACTTCAGAAAGGCTAATGCTGCCACCAGTATAGGCATTTATATCGTGCATGTATAGGCATGGTGCCGTGGGAGCGAAAGGAGGGCCGATGACTTACTACTGCATGTAGTACTGACGCACATACATCTGCTGCCACCAGAGCATGGGGTGGTACATAGGGTACGCTGGGAAGCCTGCGGGGAAGTTCCCCATGTACCTGCAGGGGGCGCACAAGAGCCATGTTAGGGAGGGCTTGCGCTCTCACGTCTAAGCTACTGATGACACTCTAGCTAAACACAGTGATCAGCTGACCACTTTAGGAAGTGTTATTTTATAAGCATGAAACATCAACATACTGCTTATGACACACCACACGCACATTAACACCCTGTAAAATATATTAATTTATGAAATAGCACTTAAGAGGGGGGCGCTTACCCCTGCACAAAGGTGGGGTTGTGGTGATGGCCGAGACTCTGGGTGGAGCCAGCTCGGAGCCTCAGGCCATCGCCACCCCCAGCTGCGAAGCCGGGCTGGCCGTCTTGGCTGGGTGACGCAGCAGGTGGGGCAGCGTCTGAGGAGCCTGAACCCTGATGCGGACACACGGACGGCACCGCCATTTCCCCAAGGTGACACAGTCACAGAAACTTAGCGCCATGATAAGACTCTTACAAAAACTGACAAATCGGTACAGCTGAAGGACTACAGGAACCAGAGGCTAACTTTCTCCTTGTCAATCCAATGCTTCAGACGCTACTTCTCACATGGTCCTGCAATTTTTCTTCATTCTCCTTACCACAGGCTCAGGACAACCCTGGGCAGGATGTGGTCAGAGAAGGACTGAAGTCCTTTGGTGGGAGACCTTCATGGTCTGCTCATGGAGATGATGATGTAAGCCCATGGGGACGTGGAGGGACTCACCGAGGAACTAGGCGAGGGTATCCCAGGGGGCCCGAAGCTGCTGCCAGGCTGGGGGGAGCCGGGGGGTGTGTGGGACGTACAAACCAAGTGAACCATATGATACTCATCTTGCTGCAGAATTAAAGTAAGATGGAAAACATTCAGATGACACAGAAAGACTGGAAGACAGACCAAGAATGTCACAGTACACAGATCCCTTGCAGATAATGTCAAACCTTTCACTGTAATTATCCTAGACGGAATTTGTCATGTTGAAACCGTGTCCTTATATGGATTGATCCTGAAAATGTCAGCTCATGTTGTGGTGGAACTTCTGCTTCAGCAGTGCACTCAACTGCCTTGAAATGCATCCCAAATGCCTGATCTCTGAAACTAACCCATCGTCTCTTGGACTCCAGATGTGTACATTTCAACAGCTAGGCTAACCTCAAGGGGGAAGGTGCTAGACTTTAAATTGGTGTGAAATACAGGGGTTTGGAACAAAAAAGGCTGCACATGTAAGGGTTTCTGATTCATGATGTGCTGTTGACAGAAATGTCCACAAACAAGTTATTTTTAGCATTAAGCTATGTGAGGCTCCTTACTTGAAAAGCTGTGGGTGAAAATAAAAGCCCCTAATGGCTGTGTAAGCCAGCAGGATAAAGAGGAATTTGCAGCAGAAGTGAGAATGACTTTCTAAATTCCGCTTGCTAACCATCCGAGCAAAATGAACGTCGTATCTGTACATCAGGCATTTCAGGCATACCTTTCTGAGGACATCTCTCAGCTGCAGGTGATCCAGAAGCAGCTGTCCAGAATACACCAGCCTCTGATCCTTGGAAGACTACAACGGAAAGTACAAAAGTAGCGATGGCAATGTTGAGCGCTGATCATCTCAGACACTTAGAAAGATGAGACGGTATTAACTTGAGTACCCTTGGACAACTAGCATGGAACCATGCTGAGAAATGATCCCTCTGATGTCCACAGAAGACACTGTTGGCAGTTTTCATCCAGCACATTCATTTCTTTCATTTGTTTACTTCCACTAAGGTTTTGGACAGCTTGAGAGTCTCAATAAAATATAGGAAAACACTTCATACAGCTAACATTCCCCATGTGCACAGAAAAGGGTAAACTTCCATTGTAAAAATAACTCAAGTAATACGCTCACTGAAATTACACATCATCAGCGACTGTCCCCCCCTTGGTAAACCTCAGGCTGCCTCACCCAGTCTCCCAGCCGCTGCCCCACGTAACAGACCTTCAGCAATGCATCTCCTCCTTGATCAAGTGTTCTAATGGCCTGATGGCTACTTCCAGTGCAATTCCAGCAGATCTTTGGCTCTTGGATCGATAAGAGCACTGCGAACACTCTCTCAATCACCACCGTATCACTCCCACTGATCTACAGTGCCTCCTCAACCACTTGCCTAACTGCTACGAACATCCAGAGGAATCCAAAAATGACAGCCACTGTCTGAAACCCCAGGTTCAGGGGGGGTATATATTCAAGGCGACAGAGAGAGTGCATCAACCTCTGCAGCACTAACGGGATTGTCCTGTGACTTGGCTTTAGGCCACGTTTGTTCTCTGTTCTTAATGCCTCGGTGCCATCACCACAGAAAGTGAAATTTTACTGGTGGCATTTTTAATCTACTTCCCCGGATTGCCTCTCATTTGTAGGCCAAGCCTGGATCTAAGTATGCCTGGAGGAGATCCAAGCCATCTCCCTGAATATTTACTGATGCGCGGCTCCTTTTCGAATTAAGAATATTTCCTAGGTGACCTGAAAGGAGGAAAATGTTTTGCCTAGAAAGAATCCGGAGTTTCATGAATTTCGTTGCTTTGCAGGGCTTAGTAATGTTATTGTTTCAGGATTTGCGGTGAATTTCAGCTCCATGAAAGCCGCCAGGTTTGTTTCACTTATCCGTGCATTTGGCTATGGACCTCACTGGCACTAAGAGCCCATGGGAAAATATAGACATGTCGTATGTAAACAAAACACACCCAAAATAAATCGTCCAAAAAGTATAAGATTTAGGAGCCAATATCACAAAGCAGGATTTCTTGTTTAGCCGAATAACCTGTTGAACTTAACGTACCTAGTTAAGATACACTTTTCTGATCTTTGTTCTTTTTTATTTAGTTCAACTACCTTGAATCCAACAAGTTATCTGGCTAAGTGAGAAACCCTGCTTTGTGATACATGGCCCAGGAGGCTTTTACAAACAATCTCCAAACGTTTAAGGGGGAGGGCTTATTCTGCTGAGATCTTGTGTGTAGGCCCATTTACAAAAGAAACGAAAATGCGGGACTTCCTCAAATTTCTGATACGGGTCCCTTCTGTCAGCCGTACGCAAAAAACACTCAGGCACGACATCCACCATCATTTGTCCTTTGTCAGGATGGCTAGATGATACCAATCTGAGGATCCAGCCTGCAAAGTATGTTTCCAAAAAAAAGAACCAAAACCCTAACAATACAGTCTAACAACTAACAATCCGCTTTATCAGCACAGTGCAACCAGGACCTGCTCCCCAGGGCTTGGCTCACACATTAAGGAGAGGCATCACATTCTAAACATGTACAAATTAAAATTAGGGCAGTATCTACTTACCAACGTGCTGATAAATAAGAAAGGGGTTACACTACTTTAGAATCTCACCAACGGATAAGAATATGAAAGTGGAACCAATGGAAGTTCCATTTTTCACCATAGGAGACATTATTCTGACTGTTGCCCGAGTTACCTGGCTTCGGGCCACCAACTCTTGGGTAGAAATGGTGTGAACCACAGAGAGAAAAAGGGACAATGACATTTTTTGTTGCCATACTTGCAAGGATTTTTTCAATTTACCATCTTTCTGAAACAGAAGCTCAAAACAAAAAGGCTCATGTGCTCCCCCGAAACCTAGATCTACCAGAACGTACAATAAATTTCTGCCTGAGCATACCAGCTTCAGAAGAAACATCTCACCTACCTTAGCACATGCCAGCAGTTCAAAAATCAGACGAAAACATATTAGAAACCAGACACGCTGGAAGAGGACCTCTTTCCAAAAAAACTATGCAGAGTTTGCAAGCACTCCTGATCTTAATCAGCATTAGGCCAATGACCTCATTTCACTTCAAGCAACGGGCCGCCACACTTAAATTTTCTGCAGTCTGAGAGCAGAAGGGCTACAGATAACTTTGGGGGGGGGGTGTCTAATGTTGTAGGTTCTAATCCTGTGACTGGCACAGCAATCATACTGCTGTTGGGCCCTTGAGCAAGGCCCCTAACCCTAACTTCTCCAGGGGCACTGGATGCCGGTTCACCCTTCTAGCCTATGCAACACTTTGCTCATTTGTATGTTGTGTTAGACAAAAGATTCTAGATGAAATAAACAAACATAGATGGAACCATTAGCAAAGTCTAGCACGGATCAGGGCAAATGACAGACATCTCACATGCACGTACACGTGCAGTAACCCACAAACACACGCAGACCATGATTCACACGGTCACAGCTGGATCACCACAGTGACTGGCTAGATAAAAATTTGCCCCACCCCCCAGGCACTGGAGCACCCTCCCACACATCTGGGCACACCTTCAAAAAGCTCCTTCCCACAGCTTCCGGGCCAGTGGGAACACACGCCTACTCACCGGCTTACTGGGGTAAACTTTGGATAGGTGCGTTTTCAGTTTCTCCACTGTCCAGTTCAAGAAACAGTTAATGGTCTGATCATCGTACTTTTGGTTGGGCGCCTTGATGACAAGGGTCACAGGGCTGTCAACTACACCTTGGTCCATGTTTCATAATAAGGTCATCCACTTTCAGCTGGAGCCTGCAGGAGCCGACACCCTCCGCGTAGTGCCTTCTGGGTCCCTTTACAGTCCCTCACGCATCACTCTACGGCTGCTCCCCACCGCTGAGCTCACGTCAGGGGTGAAATGACAGAAAGCTGGCAGGTCAGTTCCTCCTCCTGAAGATGACGATAGTGTCGCAGGTGCCGGGAAACGGCTGACTGTTCTGTAAAGGATGCCAAAAGCGCTGTAGAGAAGAGAAGCAAGACCAAGAGTGAGTAACATGTAGGACAGGTACAAAAACAGTGAAGTAGGTCCTCCAGGTGCTGCCTGTAACCTATACGTTTGATACTTTCACAGAAAGACATGAACAAAATCCCAAGTTTTGACCAGAAGAACTAAATGATCCGCTGAACCCAACCCACTCCGGGATTCCCATTAAATCACACAAGTTAGTTAGTTAGTTTTTAAGTAACATTAAAAAAACTAACCCGCTATCCCAGTACAATTAAAATTAAGAAACAAAGTAGGGTCTAAATCTGTTTTTCAGTTTACAACAAAATAATAATTAACTGGGTCAAATCAGAGGGACATTTAACAACAACAAAAAAATGAAGACGCAACTGAACCGTCTGGCTACATATTAAGGATATAGACAGCTAACCATCGTATAAAGATACACAACTACCCCATTAACATGTACTGTCACTAAAGTCAGAGACTGTCTGCCCTCTCCTTTTAGGTTTATCTTAAAATAGCGTCACCATTCCTGCTCCACTAGCGCCGAGGAAGCTGATCAACACTCTTACGTAAAAGTCAGCTAACTAGCAGTGCAGCTAACAGCATTAGCCATCCTGACAGTGTCTCCGCGATCGAATTCGCGTCTCTGTCGACCATGCAACATTAAAACCTTCACTTTAACTCGGCTGAGCGGTCCGCGACGTGTTCTCACCGTGATTCGCTGCGCCGTTCCCCGTGTTTTTTTTTTCCCCAGCAGCGGCCGCTGGCAGCTCCAGCTTTCGCTCCCGACTTGTTTGTGCAAGATGGAGGTGCGAGACGAAGCGGAAGTGACGTCGCCGCTGCTGCGGCCTCAAACAGCTGATTCCTGCAACTGAGATAAGAAAACCAGGTGCTTATGAATGCTGCAAAACTGGCTACTTTGTACCTATATAAAATTTTAGAAAACAATATGTATCTGTTATGCTGGACATATACAGTATGTTTCATGAATGATTTGTTGATATGAATACATTAGAAGTTCAGCCTAGCTGCACTGATGTCTAGTTGACAAGTGGACAGCAGTATTTTTGTGATGTGCCATTTTTTCTCACTTATACGTCACTTAGGACATCATTAAGGACAGCATCTATTAAACGTTAGCCATCCTGTCAGTGTGCACACGGATGGTCAAATATATCAGTACTAACATGTAAAAAGAAATATAATCCACGTGGGTTAAATACAGCAATATCAGAAGCTATACATACCTGGTCACAGTTTACAGTAAAAGATTTATGGCAGGTAGGCCCAAAGAATGCAGAGTATAACATTTAGATAATTAAGTTAAGATTCATAAGGAAATGAGGGCTCGTCCGGGATTTGAACCCGGGACCTCTCGCACCCTAAGCGAGAATCATACCCCTAGACCAACGAGCCACGATACATAGATACTCCTACTGGAAACTACACCAGCACTTCGCCACGTTGGCATACACTTTACTATAAATTTGTGGACTTTCTATTGTGTCACGTATTGCCACCTAGCGGCGGTAGTTAACACTAGGCAAGACGAACTGTTCCTCACAACTACGCCCTACCTTTCATAAATACGTCCAAGATGCCTCTGCGTTCACGTGAATTACACAACGCTTCATGTGAAATGGGTAGATGTAGGGACTAGGGATAGTAAGATTCACCGATTAAATACATTAAAAAGAGTGTCCCGGATCAGTTTGAGATGAACTCGGGATGCATCGTTTCAAACATCGGACGGTAGTTTATTTGGTTCATTTAAAAGATTTTGACAAAATGTAGTATGTTTAACTGTTGTCTCTATCCCCTAAGGGGAAGGTAAGTAATCCAGAAATTGATTAAATCTAATTTTGTTGTATTTGCTTATCGTTCATTTGAACGTTTATTTTGTGACTATTGCACTATTATAAACTATTGCAAAGTACTACGTAATCGGCCGCCCTCGGGGGCCCCCTCCCAGCTCGGAGCCCCAGGCCATCGCTGTCCTTCGGTGCACCTCTGCTAGTATGGACCAAACACATGGTTAGTGCTTAGTGCTTGTATAATTAGTCACGTCAGCCTGCTCAGGTTTGAGCACCTGCGTTTGACTCGTGTATAACTAATTTGATAACCAAAGATCCATAGCCCTGCGAATGAACACACATCGGACGCACATTTTACACAGAGTATCAGTCCCTCACTATCCGACACTGACCTATTCGGTTTAACTACACCCACAGAAACTGCAGTAAGGCGAATGGAGTTGATCGATATATTAAAGATAACAGGAGGATAGTAGGTTTGGTTATAAAGAGGGCTCGTCCGGGATTTGAACCCGGGACCTCTCGCACCCGAAGCGAGAATCATACCCCTAGACCAACGAGCCACCACATAACGTATGCAATACAAGTTACAATTCGCCGTGTTCTCTGTTACCTACAATGTAATTCGAGATTTTTTACTCTTTTTGCCATCTGGTGGCGCTGAGTGTTATTACCCCTGCCTGCACTAGTCTTTGCCCCCAGTGCAAAAATTATGAACGTCAGTGGCATCTTTACACAATGGATTTGGGGATGAAGGGACTCCAGATGTTAATTTTTGTTAATATATTATGTATGTACTTGGTTTATTTACGTAGCCTGCTATGTTTGAGCATCTGAATTTAACTTGCGTGGGATGCCAAAATGTCTTAGGCTGGCAGTTCGGACATAACCTATTGTACTAGTCAACAAGATAAATGGATGTATTAATAGACTTTGCGATAGTAAGAACAATACTAATCAGAAAAAATGCTTCTATCTTTGTAAATAGGTGGATATATGACTATAAATTATGTATATAGCAATGACTGGTTGCATAGTAATCAACCACCCCGTGAATATATATCTAAAGATGCTATGCACAGGCTTTTGGGCTGGTTGACACTTATAGGGGCTGGACAATACAACTGAAATACCTTTAGATCACAATAACTTATTAGTATGGTGTAGGGCCTCCTTTTGTGACCAATACATATCAATTTGTCCTGGGAATTTCAGATACAGGCCCTGCACAGTGGCCAGAGGGATTTTGAGTTGTTCCTCTTTCAGAACAGTGGTCAAGTCACTATGGGAGGCTGGTGGAGGAAAACGTTTCCTGACTCGCTCCTGCAAAACACCCCAAAAGTGGCTCAATAATGCTTAGATCAGGGACAATGCAGGCCATGGAGGATGTTCGACTTCACTTTCGTGTTCATCAAGCACTTTGTCACCAGTCTTGCTGTATTGGTGCATCATCATCATGGTACTAGGCATCAATGATATATGGGCTTATCAGAGAACAATACATGTTTCACATTGTCCAAAGCACAATATTTGCGCTGCTGGCACCATTGAAATCGATGTTTGGCATTAGCATGACTACTGATTGAATGTGCGATCAGTGAAGACTGATATAGGTGTGAAACCTCAAACGTGGCCAGTGTTTCAGTTTCATTTTCCATCCCCTGCATGTTGCATAAGTTCATTCATTGTGTAGGACCCATGATCTACAACAGCTGTATATTTTTAATCCTGTGCTGGATAACTGGCAAGAGAAAGAGAATGGATATTTGTTACTCAGAGAAAAGACAACTACACATTTCGCCTGGACCCCAAGGACCGAGAGCCATACTACTAGACCAGCAAGCCAGGATAGGAGATTTTAAAAACTCAATCAGCACTTTGTCACTTTGTCTACTATTTACTATATTGGGGTTTACCGTATCGCCATCTAGTGGTGGCAACCTCTAAATGTCCTCCTGCTTATTCAAACCCGCATGACATTGACATTGTGTGTATTTAGCAGATGTTTTCATCCAAAGCAACATGCATTCTTGAGAAAGCAGGACCAGCCTGTCCCTGGAGAAACCAGCAGTTCATTTATGTATTATTGTTAGAATGTTGTTCATAAAATAATTCTGTACAATTCTCCAACATATGTTATTGTATTTCCAGAGTGCAAATAAGCAGCATCCACGTTTCAACAGCATTGTACATTTTCATTTTTTATCAAAAACAGATGCACATGTATTTTGGGATAATCAGAGAAGAATATTAAAAAGTTCAATTTCATGAGCTTCACACACCAACATAGTTTACTGGGAAAGTGAGCAAGTTAGTGTAAAGACTGTGCGATTAGGCAGTGAATGCACACGTGATATCTTTCGGTAGATTTGCTCCACAGTATTTGCACTATTTATGTATGTATTTTTGGATTATTTTGTGTCAGTAAAACATTTACTTCGAACAGATATGAGTGGAAGCACTAAGCCGTTGTAAGAACGTCCCCAGCGTACAGATAACTGGCTACTGATATTTGTCAGCTAAATAAGCAAAATCCAAAATACTTTAAATAATGCAATTTTTCTCTCAAAAATTTAAGGAACCTGTATATTACAGAGCTACTTCAACAATGTGACTCTGAAATGGAGATTTCCTAGCACAAAATGGAATTACAGGAGTACAATATGACATCACAAGCCTCAACGTGCACGTTCACACTTTAATGAATAGGTAAACAGATCTGATACCTGTAGTGCATTATTATCTATAATCGTATGGGAAAATAGGTGCTGCCAGTTTTTTAAAGTTAAGCCCGTTTTAAATAACGTCATATTTGCTCATCAAAAGAAACACACTGTTTTACTCAAACTGCACAAAAACCATACTGACTGCAGAGACTTATTTGCCAGGTTTGTATTATTTGCTGCAGCGCTTTGCATTAGTGGGGTCGAAAGGGCAGTGGGTGACAGAGGCTGGGGTGGCGGGTGCTGAACCGCCCCGCTAGTCCACCGGCTTCACCTGCTTGGCCCCCTCTAGCTGCCGCAACGACTCGTCCCACTGGGTGAACTGCTTGGAGAGCAGGAACATCTGCACTGGGTTAAGGAAGAACAGTGCTAAAATTAGCCCGTTACCAATGTTAGGCAGTGTTTCCCAATCCGGGTCCTCGGGGACCCACACACAGTCCAGGTTTTTGCTCCCTCCAAGTTCCCCCGAGCAAAAAATGTGGACTGTCTAGCAGGGAGTTCGGAGGGAGCAAAAATGTGGACCGACTCTGTGTCCCTGAGGACCTGATTAGGAAAGACTTCTGTTGCTGGGAAACCTTGATGTGGCATAATTCCAGTGTTACATTTCTATCCCCACTGTAAAGTTTCTTTTAGGTTTTGAAAAACTATATAGTTTGAGCCATTGTCAGTATGCATTTTCATGATATTCAGGTCTTGTCCATACATACATGGTTAATTTAAAAATGCTGTTTTTCGTCCTCCATTATGAAAAAAAATCTCCGTCCACATGAAAACGCTAAAACGCGCTGCCAAGAGCATGCCAAACCAACAGGGGGCGATATAACTCTAACCGTAAAGCCATGTTGGCCTATCAGAAGCCTTATTACCAGGTCTGCTAGGCTAACAACAGCTGACGTAAACAGTGAACGGCAAAAACTCTGATGTCAACGTGGACAACGGTGCACAATCTGACGTTACAAACCACAAACGCCTGTCTACACGACCACACTGAAAATGGAGCTTCTGAAAATCTTTACCCTGAGGAAGGAATTTTACATTTTTGGTGACCTAAAATGCATAGAAAGAGAGACATTTTTTAAACACTCAAGTATGTGTGGACAAGGCCTCAGTAATCTGTTTTATCCCTTAGGCGAACTTGAAGGTGGTACACTGGACTGTGAAATTCATTACTGCAGCCTGCTGAGGTCGAGAAAGGATACCGTCTTGTTGTAATCTTCAAACTGCTTCTTCACCTCCTCGGAAAGCGCCTCACTCTGGTCCTGCCAAGCACACACAGGCACACAGACACAATACTGTCTTGGGGTCCTAGTAACACGACTATCCCATGGAGGAATTCCCCTGCAACCAAAAACTACACACTCAAGTGGGCAGGTGAGCAGCCCTACCTGCTGCCTGATGTGGACCTGGGAGAGCCGCTGCAGTCTGGTGGCGTGCTCCGGCACAGCTGTGGAGCCGTAAGTGAATTGGACAGTCAGCCAAACAGCACTGACTGACACATATAGATACACAGGGTCTGCCCTGAACTCGGAGCTCACCTCTAATGTGGCTGCTGTCCAGGAGGGGCTGGAGATTGCTGACCTGCTCCAGGAGTGCAGCCTGTGACAGCAGGAACTGTTCCTCTGGGTGAGCAAGAGTATTAAAAATATGATAAACAATGGCTTTGTCCCATTCAGCACGCTTAAGGACAAGTGTAATGAGATACTACACATATTGAAACATACTGATGTAAGAAGCTTAAGTGTACAGGGATTTCTGGAAAGCAATGGGACACACTTGATATCTGAAGCAGTAAACAAGAAACACACTATAGCTATGCTTTCATTTGTGTTGGTTGTTTTTGGGGTTGTCCTTCACTGTAGCCTAGGCTATGTAAAAAGTCATTATACAACTTTGTGCACTTACACTGAAACTTATCTGGAGGCATGTTGGACTCTGATTAGCTAACAGACTTCTTTGTGTTTGATGTCAACATTAGTTTTCACTGAAGCAGTGCATTGTGGTCTATATACTCAGCCAAAGATCACTGCCATGTGGTATTTGCCAGTGTGGATAAGGGACACTTCAAGTGCAGGGCACTTGGCTTATCTGAGGAACGGGACACCACTGAATACTTGCGCTAAGTGCATGAACGTGCACATCAAGTGTGGTAGTGTGTAAGTGTGGACTAAGTGGGGGAAATTGGACAAAGTAAGCTGCTCTTATTCCAGGCAATCTAGCTCCCATTCAAGATGGTTTCTGTGGCTACTTCGATATAGTACCTAATGTCAAAATGAGAGTTTCATTGTTTTTTTTTTTTAACTGGAATTGGAAAAAAAGTTCTCTGGTGGCACCATATGGCCCTCTTAGTTGCAGCAGGTGGCATGACGGTTAAAAACACTGACTAGCTACCAGAAGTGGAAATCAGTGACATACTCATCTAGTAAATTAAATATAACTATGCATTACAGCAGCATTACTCACCAGCTAAGATGAATTCTAGCTTCATTGAGTCAGGGACTGCAATGCTGTCAGTGAATTGTGGGTCCAAATACCTCATGAGGTCTTCAACTGGAATAAGAGATGAATGGAAACTTATTTGACATGTTACAGATTTTTTTCATGCTAAAGCATATCTGCAGCAAAGACGCAATAAAAAAAATAAAAAAAAGTACTTTGGATGCCACTTAACTCTTTTTGTGCAAAATTTTCACTCGCTCCCTCTTGTTGGCCGTGTTCGCAAGCCCTGTCTGGATCTTTGTAACTGAATCAGCAAGCTAATGGATAAAAAAATTAAAATTATTAATTAATTAATATTTCCTTCGATTACATAATAGATGACGACACAAGACGCCCTGTGTTTCCCTGTATCGGACATGTTGTAATTAGAGGACCAGTCAGCAAGAAAATGCTAAAATATGTAACGCTCAAGTCTAATAATTTATACTATTCATCTGGATGATAAAATGTTCCCAAATGTGCTGTTTTACGTGGATTCACATGCACGAAAAGTGGAAACGTTATTTTTTGTGACTCAGTCTGACAGAGATGTGTGCCATCTGAAATACCTTAAAAACATCCAATCATTTCATGATTCAGGCGTACAAAGCAACACATTTTTATTAATATATTGGATGACTGATGTGGCCACACCCGTCACCCACTTTTCCTAAAACGTCTCAGGCATGATCGAGAAATAAATAACCCCTGATAAACAGACGAACATAGCAACTAACACACAGTAACATGACAGACAAACTGCACAGGACAAGCGGGTAAAGAAAATGGATGGATGGATGGGTGGGTAGGTGGAAATAACTGATCACAAAACACACTCGCTTGCAAATCTGCACTTTGGGAATATTTTTTTATGGCAATAAGAAACATAAAATACGTCAGCATGCATTGGAAAATCGTAGTCGAAGTATTTTCTTTTTAAGAACAGGACGAGATCTCAAATAAGTGAGCGATGTCCAGATGCCGAAGGGATCAGCGGATGCTGCTGTCCAGCTCTCGGCTCACCTTCAACGTCTTATTTCGTCCTCCCCGTTCCCCGTACACGCGCTTTTCCAGGTCCTGGACGCGCGTTTCTAAGTCTTGAAACTTGTCACACCCTTCCATCATCCCAGCCCTGACAGGTAAAGGAAACTGTAGCAAGGCGCAGTGGAAAGGAAACAGATGAATAGAATCGCATAAAAGATGGTGGACTGATAAACAATCCCGACGGCCTACTTCCGGGTTCTGCAGCCTGATTCTTACTCGGATACTCGGCCTCATATCTGCTTTTAATGCGTACCGCCGCCTACTGGCCAGAGGTATCGGGTGCAACTGGAACTGTGCTAAAACAGTAGGTGCTTATTAATGCTGACGGAACATTAGGAGGTCACTTCTGCAAAAGAAATTTGAATGCGGGGGATTGTAGTTATTTAGATTAACTTGGGCAGCGCAGTGTAATTTTGCGCTTAATGCATCGTACAAAACGTTGATTTACGAACGCAGTTTGTGAGGGGGAGCGACGTTTAGTGTAGTGGGAAATTACGTTTTTCCATAAAAAACAAAGCAATCACCATGCTTGACGTCTCCCCCCCCCAGATACGGTGATGAATAGCAAGAACGATAACAAAAGACTAAGCGTCCTTGGAAACACAACACATACACACAGACTTCGTTAATTCACTGCTTGAAGTCTAATACATCAAAGAAACAAAAGAACCATTACTTCTCAGACCAATGTGAGATAGCCGCCACGGTGTCTTTACAACTTTTCACCATCGGGTGGCGATAGAGATCCAAGTAATCGTTATTACTTTGGAAGTAGGGTGGTGAATGTGGTAATCTTATGTACAAAGGGGATCAGGTGAGTGCACGGGGCAGGGGCAGCAAATAAGGAACATGCAAGCCTCCTGATTGTCACTTTTTTTCTGGTGGTACTGCATCCATGTATTGGGGGTACGACCGGAAAATAGTATGACTTACACATTACATTAAGTGAGATTAGCTAGCTGAAAGAAACCACTCTTAGTAATGATCAGAATCAGTCACTAATGTGTCATTTTCAGGTCACACGCTTCTCCCCGCACAATGCGTTTCCAAGGCGATGTGTGTCAACCTTCACACTGGCCCGTGCACTGGGGGCCTGCATTAGTAGCTCAGTAATGGCTAATTCAGTTCATTTCATTTTCCTCTCTGAAAGGCACCTATTCCATTCTGCACACATACGCCTATTTTTGTGCTTCAATAAAAGCCTGTCAAGGGTGTCTGCTGAAGAGAGACTTCCTGTTTGCTGGGAGTTGGGGTGTCGGGTTAGGTGCGGGGGGTATAAACAGGAGTAATCCGGGGCGAAAATAACTATAGTAGGTGCTCTAATGATCTTTCTTGGTCTAACCTGATGATCTAATGTGATTTTCCTGATACATCCTGGAGTAAGGAGGTACTCTGTTATTGACATCAGACATCCGTCCATCTGGAGGTAAGAGACACAAGAGGGACAGAATGAGTCCTTTGATGACTATTCTTGATTCCTCCATGATGCACATGCTTCCCAGCATGCCCTCGGCTTCCCCGCTACCCCCCACTCTGCCCCAAGCACGTGAGTTTGACCTTTGACCTTTGTTACCTCTGTTCCTCAGATCCTGCTGCACACGTGCAAGGCTGTAAAACCATAAAGACGGACCTTTCCCTTCCCACCTTACGTGTGAAAGATGGCGACATCCTTTGACTGGCTGCGAAAGATTTTGTACCTAAGAAAACATCCAGCATTGAGTCTGTTCACCCAGACTGACGTCTCTTATATTTCAGTCACGTTTTGTCTCCAGAACAGCAGCCTTCAGTGCTAAAACACCATAAAAGCATAGTCGCAGTATACACATCAGGCAGATCTGATTGTTCATCTCTGTTTTGCCAGATTTACTCAGTGTGACTTAGAGTACTCAGTTATAATATATATGTTTCATATTTTCAGCCTATAGCTCATCATATCCCCCGACTTTTGTTAGGCGTGCTGCATATATTACTGCATATTAAATGCATAGTATTTTTCAACTGAAGTCAGATCAGGGAATGGACTTTTTAAGCTATTAACTAATACTAAACCTACCTATGTCTTGTTCTCGTAGCTTGTGTGATAGGCATCGGACACCCATAATCCTGCATAGGATATGTGGGTATAGAAAATGGATGGATGGATAAATCTACAGGTTAATGTATGTTTCTACCCTCACCAATGGTCATGACCTCTGGGTACTGAACAAAATGATGAGATCACAGATACAGGAAGCGGGAATGCAGGGTGTCTGGGCTCTAGAGATACAGTGGGGAGTTTGAATCTCTGGGAGGGGCTCAAAGTAGAGTCACTGCTCATTAAAATAGAGAGGAACCAGTTGAGGAGGTTTGAGCATCAGGATGCCTCCTGGATGGAGATGGGGGGAGGTGTCCAACCAGGAGGAGACCCCAGGGCAGACCCAGGACACGCTGGACAGATTATATCTCTCGGCTGACTTTGGACCGCCAAATTAACTGGAGGAGGATGGAGAGAGGAAGGTCTGGGCATCCCTGCAGATCCCTGGACGAGTGGCAGAAGATGGATAAATCTCCCTGCTATTAGGGATGTTTGCTGTTGTTTGTAGCTGAGAATACTTGGATGCCTTAACTTGATATTAGTGTAACAGCAATCAGTTATTTTATCCAGGGTTAACCTGGTAACTGATGTTGTTGTTTTTTTTTTAAATATTGATGTTGCGTTGAATTCAAAATTCTGGTCTGGACCACTGATTGTACCCGAAAGCCTGGTTGGGCCCTCCGTCCAGGTCATAGTCGTGATAAAGCATGCAGTGACTCACCAAGCTTCCCGTGGACCGAGACTTTCCAGGGGAGTTTGTCTTGGTGTTTTTGGGAGTTCAGCTTGGTCCTCAATGTCCCAGAACCATGCTGAGTCTCCAAAATACATGTGACATGTCCCTCCTTGTCTGACACAGATTAATAAAAGATCTAAGGCTCATTCATATTCACACTGCCGTCCACTGCAGTCTTTGCAAATGAGGTATCAGTGCCCAGGCTCGTTCGTCATCCAACGTCGGTGTCAGACACTCAGAATAGCTCGCTGCAGCTTAACCTTTACCTCTAATTGATGATTAGCTCATTTGCGACTTCCGATTTTTGTACCCCCTCGTCCCCGTTCCCCGGCTCTCCCCTGGCTATCACATTAAATGCAGGGATACCGTTCTTGTCCCCCGAAGTGCCGATCAGAACCTGACAATAAACACCTGGTAACCCTAACCCCCCACCCCCCGGGGGGAGACATTAAAAGATGTGAGAAAGCCTTACAGAAATATTGTCGTCTCTTAGAGGCTTCACCGAAAAAAACCTTTAAGTACAAGAAAATGTTCTACTGTTGTTACAGGAATCAATCAGTCAGTCAATCAACCAGTCAATCAATCAGGAAGTCAATCAACCAGTCAATCAACTCAATCAAACATCCATCCATCCATTTTCAAAATCATAAAGAAATATACTTCAAAAGGTTTTATAAGGAGGAAAAACACAAACTATCTAACTTGGAACAAACAAAAATCCAGGCAGTAAAACTAGAAGGGTCCATAGTATATGTACACAGCAACAAGAAATTAAAGATAAATGCAGGAGAGAGAAAATGAGGGCACAAAAAATTAAGAAACAGTTTCGGTTTAACCGAGCTGTGAGGCGGCAGTAACAGGGATCCGCTACGGGACGATGTGTGAGGAAATTCAAAGCCTGTAGCCGTGTGAGCACATGCTTACGTTAAAAAGGACATCGCTCTCATTGCCCTCCGACAGTGAGATATGCTAATCGGCTTGTTGCGCTAATGCAGAATGTGTTGACGCCGTCTTCTTAAAATAACACTATTAAATAATAGGGGCGGGAATGATGGTTTCGGAGGTGTAGGTGCTTGCAGACATGCTAATTAGACGCCTGTTATAACATTACTTAAGAAACGAGGTACAGTCTGTCAGGCATGTAACTGCACTTGAGCTGTTATCCTGTAGCTGGTGCTGGGTGATACTGTTGCCCTGTTGGCTGTGGCCTGTAGTAGCTGCTTTGTATGATGTTTAGTGTGTGTGTTGTTACAGACCCAGATAGAGAATTCAATTTGGGGGGGATGGGGGATGGTCCTTTTCTTTTATGACTTTTAAAAATTTATTTGTCTCTCTTTTAATTTACCTGTCTTGTCAATGTGTGTGAGTTTCTGTGTGAACCCATCACTTTTTTTGTGTCACTTTCGTCATAAAGCCTGGTGTTGGAGACACATTCGGTCTCCATGCCACTTGGACATTTGCCCCCCCCCCAGACAAAATAAAAGTTTCGTGTCTCCTGCAAGGACACCTTCCACGTGCACAGATGAAATGACTCAAGTTCAGTTTTGTTATTCACTGTCTTCCTCACGAGAACAGAATTAGAGCACATCACCATCTGGACACAAGCTCTGCTTTTTATCCACCATCCCACATCATCCCACGTCGCCCCCTCCCAGTGCTGAGTTTGCCTTGCCCGTGATCACATGACCTAGCTACAGGCCTGCATGCGTGAGTACAGGAACGGACAGCCCCGTTCATATGTGAGAGGTCTGTTTGTGACCACGGACATGTTTGCACCAGTGTTTCTTGTGTAGGAGTCCTTACTCACCGTCACGATGACTCACGGGGCCCACAACAAAGAGGCATGTTGAAAAGTCATCGACTGGGAATTCAGTTTTATTTGGACATGCTGACCGGGGCACCGGAGACGCCGATCCTCATGTCGAGGGAAGCGGATGAAAGAAGAAACACCCCCGTTTCACACAACAGGCCTCGCCTGAGCCTCATCCCTCCCTCCTCGTTATGATGTCATCGCTGACGGTCTTCAGCTTCTGTATTTTTTTAAAATTATAAATCATCTTTCCGAATGCAGTGACTGTGGGGGGGAAAAACCTCTGGGGTCAAAGGTTAACGGACTGCCCACCCTTCCAGAACATACTGACCATATAAGTTTAAAGGTCCAGATATTCGCATGTTCGCAGGCGATGTCCGGCTGGTCTACTGTGATCTTCTGCAGCTGTCTGTTGGCCCCCCAGACTGAGACTTATCGTCCAGATATGGTTGGGATCCGCTGTCACGGAAACGGAAGCTTTATTTAAGGTCTTGCCGGTTCGGTGTCATTGACTGGTCAGGATGCACATAGATAGTGAAGGATAGAAGGCCAACAACCAGGAGAACGAATATGATAATAAACGAGGACAGGATGTAGCCT